ATTTAAAATATAAAATTAATAATCTTTTTAATTTTTATTATATATTAAAATAATTTATTTAAAAATTAATTTGAAGATAATAAAACGCATGCTGTCATATGTTTACACGTGGTTTACATTTTTGACTATTTATTTTAAATGTTTATAAATTTTATACTGAAAAATTAATATTATTTTAGCAGTTTTGAACAATTTTAAATCTGTAGTTTAACCTGTTACGTTTGTAGATCAGGTGGGAAGCGTAACACGGAGTAACATTCGAAGCGTGTAATTCGTAGTAAACAAATACACTGTATATTAGTAAATTAATGTAAATAATTCATTTTAAAGTAGTTTTTTAATGTATTTTAAACATTTTTTTTCCTACTTTTTAAAGTTTTAATTCGAATAAATTAAGATTTTTTAAGCCCGAATCCATTAAAGTTTATACAAAAAGTATGGTGATTTTTTTTTACAAAGGTAACTCTAAATTATTAACTGATATTTAATTTTAAAAAATAAAGATTATTTCGATATTTATTTATATACGAGGTTAAAATTTATTTTAAAAAAAAGGTAATTTTGAATGATGAAAGCATTTTATGTATAAAATTGGAAAATTTTTAAAGAAAGAAGTGAGTTTAGCTGTTAGTTATCTTAATTATAAATTTATTATGGATTTATTTAATGTTTTGGCTGTAAAAATGAGCTGGTAAACATTGAAAGTAAGAGTTAACTTAAGCCATGTTTACATGTAAGAAGCGGCGAAACTTCATATTTTAAAGCGTGCTTCACTTAAAGAATAAGTCAAAAAGAATATAAAATGATCATTACATACCTTGAGAAAGGGCTTCTTGATAATTAGAAGTTTTATCACACTTCCCTCCTCGATGGAAAAGTTGTTTACTAACCAGTTTTATCCGACAACAAAGAGGAGGTCAATCACATAAAACTCTTTCTTTTAAAATACTTTCCCTTTTTTAAAATATAATCAAAATGTCCAATTCCCACATTTTTCTTTTTTTTAAATATTATTTCTCGTAAACGGAACTTTAACTTTCTTATTTTAAATGCGGTTTAAGTACGCCACACTGGCAACATCGATCGCCCCTTTCTGTTATCATCTCGTACAGATCTTCTATCCGCCGGTCACGTGACGACCGCTATCGAATAATGGCGCTTGGATTTAGGGAAGCGATGACTCGGCAGAGGTCGCTATACGGATCTCTAGACAGATCCGAACTCGTACCTTTAAGAGAAATTAGTTTGAAATATTAGAAATTCTTGCTTATAAAATCCCATATCCTCGCTGATAAAGTAGATAGAGGGGAGCTGGTTTTGATTAGGATCCGAACCCACGTCTCGAATATTTTAACACCAAAACTGTGTACGAATCACCAAGAAAATTATGAGAAAAGTTTGTCCAGAACCCTTAAGAACCCTTCAATCACTAACCTAGTGAACGACTTGTTTGTTTATTGAACAATTGTTGTTTTTTGTTTGTTTGCTTATTAAATAAAAACACCAGCTTTACCCGACAGCTGTCATCTATAATATAACATAACANTTGATTGAATGGTATTTATCAGCAAATAAACTTTAGGATGTTAATTAAACACACGAAAAAAACCTGAAAGTCTCCACGTCAGGCTCGAACACCCTTTCAATCATTGGAGTTCAATGATTTTATCAACTCGGCCACTCGTGGGTTCTTATCAAGACGAGCTTCACATGTTCATATAATTGCTTCATACTACTACGATGAGCTAAAGACACATGAATATTTATCTTCGTTATGTATAATCATAGATTTCAAACTGTGTTGATGGCATAGTTATTATCTTATCAATATATAGTGTAATATGAAGACAACATATTGCTATCACAGCACAAAAACTAATATGAATAGAGCAGGTTTGATGCATTTTTGAATTCCGTGTAAAATATTTAGCAACGAGTTGCTTCACTTTTTCGGCGAAAAATACTTATGTTTAAGAAATACCTTAGCAAAGTTTTAACAAAAAGATCGCAACTTGGTAGTATTTTTAGATATGGACCTCAACCCCTTAATATCTCTGAAACCAATGGTCCGATTTTGTCGAAAATTTCTAGAAACATTTGCCCCCCCCTGATACGCAAACGTCCCTGAAAAATTTCAGAAATTTTGGACAAAAGGCAGAAAACGAATAAAGCTTCGAATTTGGTGACAAAAATCATGCCCATAGAGAGAAATAGAAAAGGCCATGTAGAAATATTTAATGACAATTTTACTCGTTATTAGCATTTACAATTTTTATAAAATATCTATACCCTCAAAATTAAGTTTTTTCACAATTTATAATAATGAATAATATTTAAAGTTTTTTATAATAAAATATCATAACAGATGGCGCCACACACAAATTGTTCATTAGTAGTATCAGATCAACAATATAAAAGTCATTTTTTAAATAAAATCTTAACGGCCGGAAAAGTTACGCAGCTCGTTGTTGAATTTTTCAAAATTCAAAGAAAAAAAAAGTACTTATCGAAAGAATGATTGAATATTCATAATTTTATTAAAAGTTTTTTTTCTGTATAGTATATTCATTTTATTTTTATTATTTCTATATTCAGCCAATCATTTTATCTCTGTTATTTTTTGCATCATCTTTTCTAATATTCAAATCAATCAATAATAAAAAACAAAACCAGAAACGAGTTGCATAAGTTTTCCGGAGAAAATACAGTATTTAAAATTGCATATAGTGCCATTTCTATATTCATTTTATTTTTATTATTTCTATATTCAGCCAATCATTTTACCTCTGTTATTTTTTGCATCATCTTTTCTGATATTCAAATCAATCAATAATAAAAAAAAACAAACAAAACCAGAAACGAGTTGCATAAGCTTTCCGGAGAAAATACAGTATTTAAAATTGCATATGGCGCCATTTCTAATGTGATTTTATTTATAAAAAGTAAATTTTATATTATTAATTATAATGAAAAGGCAAAAGGCTTAATTTTTATGGAGGAAATGAGTTTTTATTTCATAAAAAATTTTTACCAGTAAAATTATAACATGGAAGTTTTTTGGGATATTAAGGGAGCGAGGCCATATCTTCCGAATCAATTGTTCGATTTTCCCGAAAATTCGTAGAAACATTTCTCTCTAGCACACAAACCTCCCAGGAAAACTTTACAAATTTTCGACAAAAGACACACGAATAAACTTGAATAAAAAAAATCGCGCTCTTTTCATACACAAATTAACATCCATACATACAGAAAAATCCCCAAACATTTTTGACATTTTTCGACGTTTCAAGGTGTCCCAAGTCCAGAAATGTAAAAATTTGGGGTCATTATCTGACCGATTGCCATACTTTCCCTATGTTATATAGGCCTATAACAGCAGGGAAAGTAAAATTATCGATAAGTTTATAAAATAGGTATATATATA